AACAATATTATGTTTTGTTAATTGAATTAATGGTTGTTCAAAATAATTTTTAAGTTGAATATCAGATAATAATTCTTTATCTATAGATTGAATTGAATTTTCAAGAGCAGTATCACTTTCTATATCACTATTTCCTGATGATTCAGCAGTACTGTCAGAATTTACTTCCTAAATATTTTATTAATTATAAATTATTAATATTTAAGAAAAATAAATAAATTAAAATAAATTATTATAATTTTTAAAATTTTTCTTACTATATAATCATCTTTATAAATACTTTCATAAGCTTCAAAAGTATCAATAAGAGAATCAAGAGACATAGTAATAATTGTATTTTTGTAAATTTTCTAAATTTAAAAAAAAAGATTAATAAAAATACACACTATATATATATATAAATTTTATAATTATTAAGTAATATATATTTACATGTTATTTAAAAATATAAACTTTAAACTTTATTATTTATTTGAAGCTAAAATTATAATACATATATAAATATAATTACATCTTAATAATGAATAATTATATAAATATTTAATTATATTATATTAAAAAAAAAACAAATATTTAAAATATCTAAATTATATAAATATCTAATTATATATATTATATTAAAAGTAATTATAAATATCTAATTATATTATTACATAAAATAGTTATATATAATTATATTTAAAAATATATAAATTTATAAATATCTAATTACATCATATTAAAAAAAAATAATTGAGGCCTTTGCTAGGAAAATCGGGTTTCAGGACCCCTTAACCAAAAATAAGATTTTGATAATATATTAATCTTTAGTATAAGAATAGTACTTTGGTATAATTTTTAGACTAAATTATCTTAACATAAAAGTAAATTTTTTTTAATCTGAAGTTTTTTTAATATAAGATCTAAAAATAGAATTGGATCATATCTTGTCACGTGAAATTGATCGTCGGAGTTTATTGATCATTCATTATCGTTATCTCAAATATTAATTCCAATTCCCTAACGCTAACGCTTAATCCTAACCTTAAAGATTTCGTTATGAGAGCTACGATCCATACTTATTTTTTTTACTAGAACGTCAGATTGTTATCACAAATACATGTCTTGTTGCTAGTTTTCTTACCTTTTTTACCATTCTTTAATTTTCATATCTTAGACTCTCTGGTCCTTAGTCTCCGTTTCAGGCTGATTTTCTCATCAGATTCTTGTCGCTTTGGGTATCTTGATCTTTGAGTTCTTGATTTCTGATTCAGGCCCCTTGATCCTTTAAATTTTCAAGGAGTTCCTTGATCTCTATTTCGAGTTCTCTATCACTGCTCAGGTTTTTAATCTTGCTTCAGGTTTTTCGATCTGTCTTACGTTTTTGATCTTTGCTCTAATCCTTTGTTACTATTCAAAATCTTAATTTATTATCTTTGTTTTAGGTTTTTATTGCTGCTTTGGGTTTCTTGATCTCTTTTTGGGTTCTCTGTTACTGTTAGAGTTCTTGATCTCTGATTTAGGCTTTTTTTATATTTTTTTTTAGATTTCTTATCGCTGTTTTGGGTTCTTCGATCTTTGCTTCAGATTTTCTGTCACCAACTTGGGTTCTTTGATCTCTGCTTTAGGTTTCCTGCTTCTGTCTCAGGTTTGGGTTTTTGTTACTTTCTTGGATTCTTTGATTTATGTTTCAGGGCTTCTGCCACTGTCTCGGGTTCTTTAATCTCTATTTCGAGTTTTTCATCTCTACATTAGGTTTTCTGTTGCTATCTAATCTCTATATTGAAGTTTATGTTGTTGCCTTGGGTTCTTTGATCACTATATCAAGTTTTCTGTCACTGCTTCAGATTCTTTGGTTACTGCTTTAGATTCTATAGTCACTGCTTCAGGTTTTTTTGTCGGCTCTTACTGTATTTTACTTTTGCTAAAATATAATTTTCTTTTTACTCTGATACGTTATTAGTAAGTTATTTACTAAAAAAATCTATTAATTTAGGGTTTTCTCAAGCTTTGATTAGATGGTGATGCTCAAGCATTACAATAAATAATGCTATTTATAGAATTAAATGCTTAAACGTACTCTATTTTTCATAATCTTCGCTATACCTCTTAAAAACCTAATAAAAAAATTTTCTATTTAACCAGCTACTGAAGCTTCAACTTTAGTTGTGTTGGCTTCTCTTTTTTAATGATTTTACCAATTTAAATTTTTTATAGACAACTTATAGTAGTTTTACAGTTACTACTTCGCACTGAAGGTAGTATAGGCAATACGAAAATATTTTTGAAAGGTTATAATATTCATTATTAGAAAAAACAAGATTCTTTAGTTTTGGATCTTTATTGCGAAACTTTTAAATTTAGACGAGTAAAAATGGAATTGCAGTATTTATTAAATTTTGATCAAAGGTTAAAAGATGGATTGTATTTAGATCAGATTTAAACCCGATTTCCTTTGAATTCGATTTAAATTTGGAATATACCAAATCTGCAATACTCAATTATCTGTACAAGCGCATAGAGAACAAAAGATTCGACATCTATAATTTTCATTCTTAAGTGATCGAATGTTTTTGTCATTTAGTGTGTGTATGTATGCATGCATGTACGTACAATAATATTGCTATCATTATTTGTCTGAATTCGACTAATGCAAAACAAAATCCGGTTTCAAACTTTATGAGAAAGTATGATGTTATGCTTATGAAAGCACAACTTAAGCACAACCGGATATTATAGAATAAATTCGGATTAAAATTCATGTATATTTTTATTAAATTTAATATGGAGTTAATAAGTGGATCCAGTTTCAAACCTTAGTTGTATTTATTATATTTATATAAAAGTATTAATTGTTTTAAAAGCTTTGAGCATTAAGAATAAAAGATATTTTTGGGTTGGTAAAAATTTGAGAATTCATTATGTTTATATATAAAAAATGTATAAGTAATGCTTGAGCGACCTTTATCGATTCCCCATCCAAATGGTAACTTATTTGATTCATTATTCAGGGTGTTCTCAAGCATATTTCTCAATAAGATTTGCTAGTGATCGAGATCATACATAGGCATTATGATTAATTGAAGTAATCTTTATCGTTATAGCAATTTGGCTATGGATATTAATTTTTAGCCAATCAGTACAACTCTGATAAAAAAAGATGGTCTCGACCATTTTTTTTTTCATTGCAATGATAACCTTACTTGATTGGCTGAACTATTTTTTTTACTAATTAAAAATTGAGCTTTGGTCTATTAACTTAGGTGCTTGAGAGCACCCTTAATTTCCGACTAATTAAAAATTAGCCTTCGATCTATCGATTAAGGTGCTTGAGGACACTCTTATTAATAAAATCAATTTATTTATTTTCATCTTCAGTTTTTTCTGGATTTGCACAATATACATCTTTGTATGTGTCATCCACATATTGTCTAATTTTTGTAAATAAATAGTATTTTCTTTCTTTTGTTAATAATTTAATAGGAATAGTTTTTAGTGTAGTGTTAATATTAAAATTATTCTCGTATAATAGTTGAAATGAAATTTCTGGTCTGCCCGATTCAGTTGATGCATAAACTTTTCCAATATCTGTAGATAAACTACTAAATCTAAAATGATAGTATTGTTTTATATTGGGAAAATTTTTAAAATGGTTTTCAAATAATAAAGAAAAATCGTACCAAGTCCAACCTAATCCATTATTATATAAAATTGCTTTGTTTCTTTTTGAAGAATTATTAATAACATGTTCAATATCGCTTATTGTATTAACTCTATGATTTCGATATACCTTTTTAACTTGACCAAAAAAAGAGTCACAAATAAATTTTGTGTGACCCGGAATCATAAAGTTAATTGTAATTTCCTCGTACCAACCTAACATCATTAACCAACAATAAAAAAAAAGAAATAAATTATTTTTATTCTGACCGCTGCAGTTATCACATGTTATATGTAGTTTTTTTTTTTTAAGTGTAAATTCCTAAAAAAACCGATAAACCATATTGAGTGTAGTATTTGCACCCTTCGAAACACCTTCTGGAAATTCATCTTCACCTATTACAAAATTTAGTTGAAAATTTTGGCCTCCTTCTGTTTTACATACCCCAAATAAATGCATAGAAAATGGATTTTTAAAGTAAATTGTTCCTACTTGTTGTGGTGAGTATGGAATTGACATACACTGTGCCCAATCATAACAAACATGTGTGATGGATAAATCTTTTGTACTCTTAGCTATATTATCATTATAATGTTGCCTTTCTCGATCTGCTGCAGTGCGATGCTGATCATACATATTTTTAATTTGATTATATTCTTCAATATCCGATTTTGCTACTACTAATTTAGCTTTAAAAGTTTCACAAACTTCGCAAAGATCACTCGCAGCTGGTTGAAATTTAAGATAAGGAATTATTTCATACCAAAGTCTTCTAAATGTAAAATAGGAAATAACTTTTGTATTTTCACTATTTTCTTTATAAAAATATTCTTTGAACCGAAGTATATGTATTTCCAGTAGGTAAATAAATAAATGGTTCTGATTCATTTTTATGTCTCATAGGAGAAGGAAGTCTATTAATATTTCCATACTGTTCTAAAAAACATTTAACCAGAAATGTAATACTAGAATCAAGATGTACTTTACTTTTTAATTTAGGTATGCATCCAGTATTTCCGTGAGTTTTTTCGGTTAATCCATTCTCTTGTAAATGTTTTTGAATTGCTAAAAGAACATGATCACTTATTCCACAAAGTTTTAGAAATACTGGTTTACAAAGTAATAAAGACGCATTATAGTTATATCTATAATTTTGTCTTTGAGATTCTACATTTTTATTAGTAATTTCAAAGGCCATTAATTGTGCTTTTAAAAATAACACACATTCTGATTTTTCTAATGCTTTTATTTGAAAATATCTTTCAAAAAAATTTTTAAATCCGACTTATTCATAACAGGTTCTTAAATCTTTTTGTTTAGGTGTATGATGGCATGTACAGTTTGATTGTTTTTTAAAAAATTGCATTAGATCATGAACTGTGTCAAGAACTAATTCATTGTCTTCATATTCTTCTAATCCCAGTTCAATTAAATTATATACCGGTTTTAAAGAATCTAAATCTAAATTATTTGTGCTTGAATCTTCTTCAGATGAAGACATAAAAGATATAAATTATATAAAGTAAAAGGAAATTTATAAATTTACTCGTAGTGTATGAACACGGCTATAATTTCGTTAGGGTAAGGGTGGGTTTGGGATTGGGTAGAGTATAGTTTATACCAAAATTTCGTAAAGAATTTTTTTTTTGTTAGAAGCCAAAAGGCAGTTTTATAATCAAAATTATAAGATATCTATATCGCCAGTGTACATGAAACTGCCAAAGTAAAATATTATTAAACAAAAAACTTTTGTGTGGTTAAATATACTAAATGCGTATTCTTTTAAATACAGTATATACAGTCGATACTGTCTAATTGTATACTGTCTAATTGCATACTGTCTAATTGCATACTGTCTAATTGCATATACTCTTTAACCGCATAAAAAATTTTGGTTTTTAACTATTAATACAAAAATGGTTCTTATAACTTAAATACATATACTGTCTATATGCGTGAAAAAGTCTGATGGATAGCATGCAATTAGACAGTATTGACAGTTGATATATTATGGTTTAGTTTTAAATTCAAAATTTGGAATTAAATGCACACTTTTTAAATATACTTTACATATGTTCAAAACTCAGAATTCCGAATATACTCTCTGTAAGTATGCTTTAAGGTTATTTATTTTAAAACATATTATAACTAAATAAAAAAGCAATGCAAATACATATGCTTTTTATCTTTTGTATAATATACAGAATAAACATTATCATTACCCAGTCTTGAATATAGGGTTCGTTTAAGTCTATTAAGAAGTAAATCATTAAACAATATCATTTCATTACTCATTATTACTTTATAGACGCGAAATAATGCCTATTTGCATATTAATTAATTGACCTGCGCGTTATTTTAAGTAAGCCCATGTGCGTTATTTCAAATAAGGGCTGATTTTTGATCGCATTCTCTTTAATCACAATAAGATTTGAAAAAATGCTCAAGAGATAAGCAAGCCTATTTCTGAGCTCTAATAAGAATTGTCTTAATATAAAGAACAACTTTTGTTAGAGCTCAAAAATAGGCATATTTAGTACCAAGCATAGTTCCAGAGCACCTTTTGTTTATATAAGGGTATATTGAGATGTGTGTTAATTCATGGGCAATAATTCTATTTTGTGTCTATATGGTAAGAAACTGTTCACTTTTATTATAATATGGAAACCAGAACCTGGTACCTTGCATTCATCATACTTTGCAATAACATGCATACGTACATACAATTGTACCAAATTAGCGAAGGTGCAGGCATTTTCCTTTGTCTAACTAAAGATAGGATCAAAATGATAATTTTTGCAGAAAATCATTACCTCCTGTGGGATTGGTTAACAATTAATTATGACTTTAAAACCAAGCCCATGGTTAGCCTAATTATTAGTCCATACTCCAGTACTCGGACTGGTGGATCTTGTTTTTCTGATAATTAGAGTTCGGGTTTAGAGTATTCTCAAGTATCTCATTCAATTGAATATTAAACTGAGTTACCATAAAATATGGTGGTACAGACTGTCTTTTTTTTTAAAGAGTTACTCTGAATAACTAAAATTTAGGATGCTCTCAAGTGTCAAATTTGATGTGATTAGCAAGTGATCAAGCATCATCTTGACGTGATTAGTTAGTGATCATAATAGCGATAATCAGTCATAATAAATATTGGAATCGATACTTGAATCCGGTCCTTTATTAATTCTTTTTATCAAATGTGTTATCATCAAAATTAAACAAAAATAAATAAATAAATAAACAAAAACAAAAGCAACAATCCAACAAGAAATAAGAGATGCCACTGACTTTCGAAAACATTCTAACGAAGCACAACTTTGGTAGTTCCTGTTAATCCACAAGTTTAGATCTTCATTGATGTTGGGTTTCCTGACTTTTTTTTTATTTTCCATAAAACTTTTAATGTGAAAATTAAAATAATAATTCGTTGATGCTAAAAATAAGGATCCAAGGTAAAGTTGTGTATTGATTGTAAATTCTTCAAGGCAGGTATAAAAAAAAAGATAATTTGTAATAAAAAGTTGGTTGATTGAATAACAAACTCGATATTTTTTTTTATTAATAATAAATGGTTTAATTCATAATAAACTTTATCAAGTTACGTACACATATTCATCGTAATGATAAACACACTTGTCCAGTTTCCACTAAATAAAATTTATTTACAGACACTTTTTGACCCATTGATTGAGGCCTTGAGAACGTAATAATTACTTTATAATAATTAAAATACATCTTAGGATTCTCTCAAGCAGCTAAGTTAATTAGTAAAAAGATAGTTCAGCCGATCAAGTGAGGCCATCATTGCAATGAAAAAAAAAGATAGTCGAGACCATCTTTTTTTATCATAGAGTTGTACTGACTGGCTAAAATTTAATATCCGCATTTCGCTCCATAAATCTTCAGCAAAGATTACTTCAATTAATCATAGTGCTTGTGTATGATCTCGATCACTAGCAAATCTCATTGAGAAATATGCTTGAGAGCATCCTTAATCACCAGCAAACAGTATTAGGAGACTTGAGAACATCCGCATTGTTTAGAATTAAATGTCGGGAAAAATAATTGTCAGGAAACAGGGTAAGTCTTTCTTGGGTGCTCTCATTGACCTCACCATTCTTATTCATGCTCTATTTTATGACATTTAAAAGCCGTACAATCTAATCAAAGATGAAACTCGAGATCGTGAGAGAGGACGATGATATATTTTTGGATTAGTATAAACACATCATATTACAGAGAGACCTTTCTAAATGCACCATCCTCAGGACCATAGTAAAAATTTTCAAAAATGTGCACTTAGAGAGGGTGTGGCATTTATAGAAAAAAAATACTGATATAAGCTGGGACTAGACTATACCATGCACTTAAATATTCTACATAGAATATGCGTTTAGGGAGAGTGCACTTAAAGAGGTCTCTCTGTAGGATTAATTATACAATAATGAATTAAAATATTACCCATTGTGTTTAAAGCCTTTTCATTAAAATTTCAATAACTTTATGACCTGAATCGCTTCAGAGTTCCATAAAAATATTCAGTGTAAACTGCCACCAGAAAACTTGAGTTTTCAGTGTTATAGTTATTTTATAGCTATAGTTACTACAACGGATTTTCAGGGTCTTTCCACTCACTTAGCATATCGTGCATGTATCCAATAAGAAAATAAAAAGGTTTATACAGCTATAAAGAATTATTGCTTTTATGCTAACTACGCAGATCACATTACACTATCATGATATTTGTGTAACTACGTCCCGAAGGGTGATTTTACTAGCAAAAATTTCGTGTGACATGATTTTAATTTTGTGTAACAATAATGCAGATCTAAATTTAGAACAAATTTGGATTTGTGTAACAAAACTATAAGTCCTTGTTTATCCAAATCAGATGATCTGTCCCGAACAGTGATTTTCCTAGCAAAAACCCCATGTTATTCCAACAACAACATCCCGCCTCTCCATTTTTTATGAATCCATTAGTTGCAAATAAAGCTGTTATTGAATACAAAGAAGTGTTATTCTCATATTTATTTAGAAACATAATAATTTAATAATAAGTTTTTTTTTTTGTCAAAGGCGTCGAATACAGTTTCTAAGGATGATTCAGTTTCGGATACGGATTCTATCTCTTCTGAAGTATTAAACAACAAA